TCTGGGTCAAGGGCATTTGCCTTGGTTTCAGGTTTGCTCCTCAACCCTCATGTGGGATGCAACCAACTGATGTCTCTCTGATATCAATGTTTCTCTCTCTCTCTCTCTCTCTCTCTCTCTCTCCCTCTTTCCTTCTCTCCCTTCCATCCTCCCTAAAAATCATTGGAAATAATACCATCAGGTGAGGAGTAAAAAAAAGTTTTTTTTAAATAAAAAGTGCTGAGCATTATAAGTCATTGAAGAAATAAATGTACATCAAACAACACGGTGGTACAAATACCTACACTGAATAATGAAAATTAAAACGGTAGGAAACACAAAGGGTTGGCAGGATGAGAACCTACTAGGGCCCCAAACAAGGGAAAGTTGAGGAAATGCTGAGGCTGCTGAGAAACTGCTCAGCAGAATCTTTTATAAATGAGCTCCATCAAGAGCCGTGGTGGGGTGTCCCATTGGGCTGTTCAGAGCCAGATTCTCAGGGGCTGAGTCAGGACCAGAACCTGGGTCCTGCCTTCTCTGAGCAGGAGTCAAACTAGCAGACACTTGAGACCCCGAGGATCAGGTGAGGCCTGAGAACCTGTGTCCCCCTCAGCCCTCATCCTGGGGAGCTGCAGAGCCAGGCCCAGGGCAGGGCCCTCCCATGGCTGTGGGTCTAGAGCTGTGAAACCCAGAAGGCGGCTGCAGCTCCTGACCCACATCCTGTGTGACCCTTTCCTTCAGGCCCAGGCCTCCTCCATGTGCAGAGCAGGAGCCCTCAGAGCAGACGCCATGACGTCCATACTCTCTGTTCTCTGCCTTGGTCAGTTGTGAACACGGGGAGGGGCAGCAGGAGGGGGAGCAGGAGGAGGGACAGGGTGGCACCTCACCCTTATTTATGGGGAAGCAAAGGCTCAGACAGCTCCAGTGGACGGGGCCCTGATGGGAAGGTTATCAGCTGAGACATTTGGGTGCAAAACTCTCACCAAGACTCTCTTCCAGGGCTGAGGCTGGATTTGAGGACCCGTGTGCAGGCAGGTGAGTCCTCCCCAGGCTTCATGTTCCTCCTCTTCCTTCATCCCTGGGGCTCAGGAGGGAGCACAGAGGTACTGGGATGAGGTAATAAAATGAGAGCATCTTTGGCTGAGCGTTGGGATGAGGGTGGGAAGGTCTTTTAAAGCAGCCTCTGTTTCCTTTTAGGGCCCCTCCCCAAACCCACCATCTGGGCTGAGCCAGGCACTGTGATCCCCTGGGGGATCCCCGTGACAATCTGGTGTCAGGGGGCCCCAAGGGCTGAGGTGTACCGACTGCATAAAAAGGGAAGCACAGCATCCTGGTACCAACTGATGACACTGAATCCCGGGGACAGAGCCAAGTTCTCCATCAGACACATGAGAAATCCTGATGCTGGGAGATATCACTGTTACTATTACAGTCCCAGTGGGCAGTCAAAGCGCAGTGACCCCCTGGAGCTGGTGGTGACAGGTGAGAGGACACTCAGGGGTCCCAGCCTCGGGTTCTGCCCTCAGGAAGGGGGTCGGCTCTCAGGGTGTCTCCCTCTCACAGCCCAGCCCTGGGGGACATGAGGGAGGTGTGAGCCCATTTAACACACTGCCTCCTCCTCTCCTAGGATCCTCCAGGAAACCCAGCCTCTCAGCCCTGCCCAGCCCTGTCATGACCTCAGGAGGGAACGTGACCCTCCAGTGTGGCTCAGGGCAGGGATTTGACAGTACAGGGGCACCTGGGCCAGAGACACAGAGAGAGACAGTGAGACCTGGGAAGCAGGCCAGCAGAAGGAGGTTATGGGAGGAGCAGCCCCTGTAATTCACGTCTGGTCTCCTCAGGTAAGTCTGGGAAGCCCTCCCTCCTGAGCCAGCAGGGCCCCATCGTGGCCTCTGGACAGAACCTGACCCTCCAGTGTCGCTCTGATGTCGGCTATGACAGATTCGCTCTGCACAAGGAACGGGGACGGGACCTCCCCCAGAGTATTGACCTGAAGCCCCAGGCTGGGCTCTCTCAGGCCCACTTCCCCCTGGGAAGTGTGAGCAGCTCCCACGGGGGCCGGTACAGATGCTACGGTGGATACAACCTCTCCTCTGAGTGGTCGGCCCCCAGTGACCCCCTGGACATCCTGATGGCAGGTGAGGAGTTAGTGGGTTCAGTCAGGGACCTGGACTCTGCACAGGCCCTGCTGGGGTCTCAGGGGGTGAGGCCAGAAAGACAGCGCAGGCTCCAGGGAGGGGGTGAGACAGATAGAGATAGCGGGTGGGAGGGGAGAAGGGCGACTCAGAGAAACAGAGACAGACAGAGAGGAGGGTCCTTAGAGTAAAGTCTGGTGACTCTCAGCTCAGAATGAGGTGGCCGGGAGCCCTCACCTTCCCTCCCTCTCTCTAGGACACCTGCCTGACACACCCTCCCTCTCGGTGCAGCCAGGCCCCAGGGTGGCCTCAGGAGAGAACGTGACCCTGCTGTGTCAGTCACAGAGCCCGTGGGACACGTTCCTTCTGTCCAAGGAGGGGTCAGCTGATCCCCCTCTGCTTCTGAGATCAGAGGATGGAGCTCAGCAGTTCCAGGCGGAGTTCTCCATGAGCCCTGTGACCTCAGCCCACGGGGGCACCTACAGGTGCTACAGCTCACTCAGCACCTCCCCCTTCCTGCTGTCACTCCCCAGTGAGCCCCTGGAGCTTCTGGTCTCAGGTGTGAGGGCCCTTATCCTCTCTGCTGTGATGTCAGTTAAGGGTCCTGTCCCCAGAAGGATTACGGGCTGAAACTGGGATGAGGGACTTCGGGGATGGTCACCCTAGATCATTTCCTTAGAGGCCCTCTCACCACGTCCACCCCCTTCTCCTCACCTGGATACTGAAGCAGTGAGAGGGCCTCAGGGCCACAGCACAGATGAATGGGGGTGTTTGTGTGAAAGGGGGTCCAGAGTCAGCCCAAGCCTCTCACCCTCTCCTTGTCCTCATTTCCAGGACCCTCTGGAGGCCCCAGCCCCCCACCCACAGGGCCCACCTCACCAGCTGGTGAGTCCCGGGGAGGTCTGCTCAGAGGGAGCACAGCCCACCCAGCAAGTCCTGAGAGTCTGTCAGGGGATCGAGTGACCCATATCCTCAAGGATGGGCTTGTGTACCTTGGGGGCTGGGAGTCCCAGGGTCTGAGCTGGTGATGGGTGTGGTGGTCATGGCAGAGGAAGGTTTGGGGACACAGATTGTGGTAGAGCTGGGCTCATGTGGGAGAAGGCAGCTCCCGCCCCTCCTGCCGCATCCTCATCCCAGGAGGCTCTGAGGATCGGTCTCTCCAACCCAAGATATGTCAGGGGCTCTGTGGGGAGGTGGTGGGTTCCTCCATGGGGAAAAGGGCTGAGCCATGGGGGTTAAGGGGTTCCGGCCCTCTGGATTTGCTGACTTGGACACCCCTTGCCCTGTCTGGGCCTCAGTGTCTCCAGGTGTAAAAGGAGAGAATCCTTGTCCAGAGCTTAGATTTCCCGTCAGTTCTGGCCCAACCTCCTGGGAGAGGGGCCTCACAGGGAAGCCCACAGATCGTGATTTTATGGGGCCTGTCCCCTCTGTCTCAGTGACGGTGACACTGTACAGGGAGGGACAGGCAGGATAAGGGTCCAGGAACCCAGTCCTACCCCCCAGCTCAGGCTCAGCTCAGAGGAGAGTACAGGTTGGATCAGCGCTGGTTCAGCTCCTGGCTCTGCTGCTCCTGCTGTGGGGCTGGGCGGTCCCTTCTCTCCTCTGAGTGTCGGGTTCCTGTCTGCTCATCCCTGGTCCCATCCTGCTCACAGGCTGCTGGGAGATGAGGTGACATAGGGCCTCACAGAGCTCAGGAAGGCAGAGCCTCCAGCCCAGCCCAACCTTCCCAAGGGGGCATCAGAGCCTGCAGGGTGGGGATGGAACCCAGAGAGACTCAGAGTCCACCCTTCACCCAGCCCCTCCTGTCCCTGCTGTGCTGGCGGAGGGTAATAAGGAAGGACCCTCAGCTCCAGATGATACATTGACAGGCCCCTGCAGAGGAGGAGTCCAGAGCACGAAGCTGGTCTCCCCCTGGGGGCAGCATGAGGACAGCACAGGGAACCCACAGTCCTTGGTATCTGTCCCAGCCTTGCCCCGTCCAGGCTGGGTGACATGGGGCACGTGATTAATCTCTCTGAGCCTCAGTGAATTGAGTGGTGGGGTCCGCCATCCCTGGTGCATAAAGTGAGAGGACATGAGTGACAGACCCCAGCAGGAGACTCACAGACAGTAGGTGCTCATTAAATGGCATCCTTGGCTCATTCATGATGTCATGAGGGGGAGATAGGCTGCCAGGTCTTTCAGGTCTGATTCCTTCCTGGAAGTCGTCCCCAAACTCTCCATCTGACCTGACTCAGAGTCCATCGTCATCAAGGGAAGCCCTGTGACCATCTAGTGTAAGGGGTCTCTTTGTTTCTATTTGTTTTGTTTCATTATGGTTTCTTAGGAATGCTCTTTTTCTGACAGATACAGATCTGCCCAAATTACCTTTTCTATGACTTCTTACCACATGACACACATTACAAAGGCTTCTTGGTAGCAACCATTTGGCTTTTAACCCAACGGAATAATGTTCTTCGTCCACGTGCATTTTCTGAATTGTGGGAGCTGGGATTTAGAATCATTGCATGGGTCTTTGTGATGAGGAGAGGTCCGTAATTTATGTTTATATCTTGGTATTTATATCAAAATGGGGTAACAGATGGACATAATTTCCTACAATTGGTGCTCACTCAATAATGCAAATTAGTGGGATTTTCTCTGTTATGTAAAGTTTGAAGCAGAACTGTACTTCCTTGGTTGTGAACTCTGTTGTCTTTTGAGATGAAAAAAATCACATGATTAGCATGCACATATCCATATTTTTCATCTGGAAAATATATCTACCACTGTAGGTATTCATTATTGTATAATAAATGAGGTAATAAAAGAATCAATAGATGAACAACTTCAGGTGACAATGAAAATTGTAGATCCTGAGAGGAGGGGCCTGGGTGGGGTGGGGTGAAGGAGAAACAGCCCAGACTTTCACCCCTTCATGCTCCTGAGATTCAGGAGCCCCTGACACCAACCCCTCCTCGATGGACCCTGGTTCCCCAGCTGTTGAGAAGGTGGGATCTCTCAGCTGTAGGGGAATAAGCTCAGTGGGTCTTGAGTCTCAGGATGAACACAGAACACACAGCTCTTAGTTATTTCTGAATTGAGAGCATTTCTTGACTCATCCTCCGTTCTTGGGCACAGCTATCTCTTATCAAGGATACTCAGAGCAGCAGCTGACTTCAGACATCACAGGGGCACTGATGTCAAGGGGAGGTGGGAGTCCAGGTTGAACATCAAAATCCTGGAGATTTGGGTCTGCCCTGACCTTTGTGACCTTTGAATCCACATTTTCCAGCCTCTACACTCCAAGACTACACTGTGGAGAATCTCATCCGGATGGGAGTGGCTGGATTGGTCCTTGTGGTGCTCGGGGTGCTCCTATTTCAGGCTCAAAATGACACCAGAAGAGCCCTGGATACAACTAGATGTGAACACTGAGAGAACAATGCACCGATCAGAGTGGGGGCGCCTTGGAGCCCATTTGATGACCCCAGTAGATGCTGAAAGAGAAAGGGGATGCTGAAAGAGTTGGGGAAACTGTCTGTTGAGAGCGTCCAGGGGAGGAGACGTGGTAGGGGAGGTTTGGGTGCAGGAGAAGGTGTGCTATGTCCCTGTAGAGGACGCCTCCTGCATCCACTTGGGAGCTCTCTCTCCCTGACCTGACTCACTCTCTTTCACTGCCCTTCTGTTCTCACCTTGTGACATGAGGGTCTGCACACATTGCTGGTTTGGATTCACATCCATACACCCCTCCATGCTGGGCCAGAACCATCCCAACAAAATGAGGTGTCTTCACAGCCCTGGGATTTTTTAAACCATAAAGAACAAAGGACGGGTACCTGGTACAATGTGGGTGAATGTCAAAATAATGCAGCTCAGTGACAGAAAGCGGACTCAAAAGATCAGGTTTTGTGTGATTCCATTTGTGCAAAATGTCCAGGAGAAGGAAACCCATAGAAATAGAAGTTAGATTGGTTTGTCAGGGACTGACCAGCAGGACAGATGGGAGATGGACTTCTTGGTGTTGTTGTTTTTTGTGTGTAGGGGGGGTGGGAGTTTAAAAACTTCTTGAAACTAGATAGATGTTGTCATTGAGACATTGTGTATTTACCTTCTTCTTGTGTGATTTTCATATTTTAAAAGGCTCAATTGTATGTTATGTGACTGTTGCTTTAATAAAAATAAATGCAAGTGAAACACGAACGGTTCCCTACAGCTCCCTTATACTTTGGAGGTTGCACTATTTGTGTGTGTGGAGTTTTATGAGAACGAGGACTCCCATCAGGTCAGAGGTGCCCTAAGTGCTTTAGTGCTTAGGGACCAATCCACTGTTGAAATTTCCACCTTCACTTCTGACTTGGGATGAGTCTAGGATCCATGATGAGGCCCACCATACCTGCATCCTTTTGTCTGCGCTCATCTGCCATTCAACCAAGGATTCACTACAGCTTCTGATTCACCTTGTAGGCTTGGGGGACACACATGTGACTTCCATATCGCCCTTCCCACCACACGTCTCTCATACGCATGCCTTCATCAAGTCAGAAAATGACACCAGATTTTCCATCCAGCGTGTCTCAGTGGTTGCCCTATGAACCAAGAGGTCCTGCTTTGATTCCCAGAAAGGGAACATGCCTGGGTTGGGGGTTCCATCCGCAGTGTGGGGCTTGCAGGAGGCTCCTGATCAATGATTCTCTCTCATCATTGATGTTTCTATCTCTCACTTCCTCTCTGAAATTAATAAAAGAAATTGCCAAAAAAGAAAGAAAATGACACTAGGTTGAGGCCCTCATGTCTCCGGCACTGCCGATCCTCATAACAAACTCATAGATGAGGTTTCACAATTTTGCCTGACATGCAAAGAAGGAGAGGAGACTGCTCAAAATAGAAGTTCAATAAATGTGTCCCCAGGTCTTAGATTATAACCTGGGAATTGTCTCCAACATGCTCATCTACCCAAAGCATAGAGATGGAATAAACAGAATTAGACAAAGAGGTACAGTCTGGGGGACAAGAGGCAGTGAGGAGGCAGAAAGGACTCTGAAGGTTTGATGGAGAGGGATGGAGAGCAGGGGCTCTGCTCACAGAATAAACGAAGTCAAATATAGGAAGTGATAGGGAGAAGCAGCAGCAGACACCCAGGCCTGGACGGCAGTGCTGGTTGCCTCTGTGGGTGATTGACAGTTTTGTAACATCCCCCAGGCCTCCTGTTTCTCTTGGATTCAGCAACCTTGGCACAGCCCCATTGGCTCATGCAGGCAGCCAAGGTGGAGAGAGGATGAGCCCTCCATTCTCCCCACTATTTCCTTTACACACTGAACCAATCCCACTGTTCTGGCTCCCTGTTTTCCTTTTTGTGATCCAGTTCTTCCCAAAGACAAGCTCAGGTGAAGACCCAGGACAGCTCGTTTGTGTGACCCCATCAGCGGCCTTCTGGCCTCCTCCAGACTCACACTGTCGGCTCAGGTGTTTCATTCTCATGGCTCCAAATGTACCCGTCACCGATCATCCCCTGCACAAAGCCTGTCCACGGGTCCCCCCTGACTCCAGCAACAGCCAGGGATCTCCACCCGGCAGTTCGTGCTGCTGACCATCAGGCTGAGCTACACTCTCCAGTCTCCTCCTAAGGCCAGTGCCTCCTCATACCAAACTCAGCCAAGTGAACCTCCTCCCCTCCCCAACACACACACCCTGA